CAAGCTGTTTCACTTAATTTTTTTTAATCGATTCCCAAACGAGTTTCAAGTCATTTTTTTCAAGAAAAAAAACATTTAGTGTGCCGAAAAATATATTGCTTTTAAGCTAATAACGATAAACATTGTATTTCATTCAAAAAAAATAATTGCTAAAACATTTATAATTATAAAATAAAATTTTTTATCCTTGTGTGCCTCTTTTATAACTCCTGAACAGCTTGTGCCATCTAGAAATTTGGATAGTTGCTACAAGAGGTAGTTTTAACGTTAGGTAGTTTAATGGGTTAGTTAAAAATCGATAAAAGAATTTCCAATTACATAATTTGGGAGTGACGTTTGAAAAATCAAATTTTCTCATTGGTTTGGCAAAAGCTATTCATATAAATTAAACTGTAGACAATCGGGTATTTGCAACTTTAGAAGAAGAATACCGCTTAATTCACAGGGTCTTACCAAACTATGTGATTATAAAAATGTCCATACAGCCATCAATGTTTGGTTTATTATCACGGTAAATTGATTCTAGGATCCGATATAATTGGATGCCCGCAAGCGATGTCATGCGAGCTTCTCGAACCTGATCGACTGCAGAATCGTAACATACACAAATGCCACGATTTAGACTCGCGTAAAGTCGCTTGCAAGTATACAGATGGATACTTACACGAGGAGAAGAAGGCATTGTTTTTTACATTCTTATGCGTAACGTGTTAGCGTTGCTATTAAGCTTAGTTTATTATCACGCAGAATCAATTTTCAGATCAAGTTCAATTGGATGCCAGCAAACGACGTCACGCGTGTATGTCGAATTTGATTGGCTGCTAAATCGTGGCATAAAAAAAATGTCACTATTTACCCACGCATGACGTCCCTTGCAGGTAAGCAATTCTAATTTTTTTTTTCAAATATTTTAAGGATAACATGATTTATGTTCGTCAGCTTATAACTCAGTTTAATAAAAACAAGAGCAGACAGACTAAATCACCAAATTAGTAGTTCTAAAACTATTTGAGACTGCAAATTTATATTGTTTAAAGTTATGCATTTTATGTTAATAGTTATGCTTAAAACTTGCTTCTATAAAACTAAATAATTTTAAATCAACGGTCATTAAAAATTTAAAAGCAGTTATGAACTGAAAAGCATAACTAGTGGAGAAATAGTACTAATTCATTTGTAAGAAACTTAATTAATTTTGGTAATGGACACTAAAGGTATTATGGTAATTAGTTTTGTTTCAATAAATGCTAATGATAATACTATACCTAAGTAATAATATAAGCACAAAGTATTAAATTAGTATATTTGGTACCAATTAAAATTACACCAAATTTTTGTAGATTTAATAAAGAATAAATGCCGAATATAATTTATTGTAATAATTTTTGCTATCACGAGATACCAGTAGCAATGCCAAAAGATACTGAATGCATTTATCTCTATTTTGATAATATGAATTATTAAAAACCTGCTTTGCTTAATCTAACAACGCAAAGTCATTACAAAAGCAAAAAATAAATGAAAATATTCGACTTTCGTTGAATAACCTAATATGTATTTTCTTAAATAAATTTGTAAAAATTTTGGTCTCTATTAACTAGTAAAGAGAAAAAAACATTTTCTATGATGAGAAAAAAACTTTTTTTTTGTTGAGAACGTTTTACTCTCTTTTAAATATATTATTTGTTATTTAATTCTAGTTGACTTTCATCGCAACGTTATTACTTTGTGATTTTATTACTATTATTATTGTTATACATTTACTAGCAAAAATATATCATTTTTTTATGATTGAAAAAAAGCAAATTTTTGCTTTTGAGAATATTTTACTATCTTTTAATTATTACAGTTCTTGTTCGTTAATTCTAGATGGCTTTGTTTATAATATTATTGTTTTTTAAATTTTTGATTTTATCATTGTTTTTTTTATTGCATTTTTTCTATTTTGATTATTAGCTTTTTGTTTCAGATAGTTTATAATAAAATTTAACTTTCGTTTCATAACTTTAATATCTATTTTTATAAAATTAAATATTGAAATACTTGAAATATATTTACTAGCGAAAATATATTTTTCTACGAAGAAAAAATATACACTTTTGCTGTTAAGAATGTCATAACTACTTTAATTATTATAAATTGTTTTATTTTTTACTTAATTTATTATTTGTTTCATTATATGTAGTTCTAAATTTTCCTTAATTTATTATTTGTTTTGTTATAAATTGTTTTATTTTTATTTTATTATATAAATAGTTTTGATAATTTATTTATATAAATTTTCTGTTAATAAATTCTGGTTGATTTTGATTGTTACTTTATTGTTTTAGGGCAGTATTTTGTTTTATATAAAACTCAAATAAGTTGAAATGTTTTCTGCCAATGTCCTTTTTTCTGAAAAAATGTTTTAATCCTTAAGGGATAAGATCCTTAAGAAAGAGGATAAAATGAAAAAGAGTAAGAAAACAATGAAAATTAAAAAAAATAATAGTAATAATAATTTACTGCACCTGCAAGTATATAAAACTCATAAAATAAGTTAAATCTATAGAGAAAACATGGAAAATAATATAATGAAAAGAGAACAAGAAAAATTAAAATAAGATATCTTTGAAAATATTTGGAAAAAAAATATTTAAAAATATATAAAAAAGCTGGAAAACAAAGCAATGAAAAAAAAATGAAAAATAATGACAAGAGAAGAAAATAATTAAAAATAATTTTTCAAAAGTATTTAAAAAAATATAATTTTTGCTATCTTAGAAAGAAAAAAAAAGAAATTAAAAATCCGGAAAACAAAACAAAGAAAAGATATAATCTCTTCATCAGCCCACACGATTATATCCGCAAAACGGAGTGCTTTCTAATATTGTATTAATATAGCCAGTAAAATTAATTAATAAAACTTATTAATTTTCTTCTTTTTTCTCTTTGTTTTTTTGTGCTATATATATATATATATGTGTGTGTGTGTGTGTGTGTGTAATTTAGAATTTCGTCTGCGAGTCTTTCTATATTAACTGGTAAGCTTAAAACATATGTTTCTTATCAAGTTTAAGATGTAGAAGTCGGTCTCTCACAAAGAGCCATAAGAAGTCAAGATGAACCAGATAAGCCCAGATAAAAGAATATTTTCCGAAGTTAGTGGGCAATAATTCGTCGATGAAAATAGTCCCCAAAACTTCCCAGAACCAGAACGTCGCTTTCCTTTTAGCGAATCAAAATCTCTAAATTTTATTAATTGAATGACGTTTCATTGAGATAAGAAGATTTTTGCAGCCACTCCCCTTCAGAATCTCACTTTAAAAGCTCAGGACAGGCAAAATTGCGTGTCTTTTCCATATTTTCAATGGCTAGATACAGCTGGGCCAAATCCAAACAATCCCTGCAAAGGGGAAACCTGATGTAAATATCACACGCATAATGTTTGCAATACTCCATCTAAAGTAATAAAATGCCTTTTTAACCTAAGTCGCTTAAGTCTCTTCAATTATCTAGCCTTTAAAGACATAACATTACATATTGTATATATATATATATATGTTATATATATATACAAGAAAACACTAAGAAAGTTAAGAAAAACAATAAGTATCATTTATTGCGCTTAAGCAGTGCAGCAGTGCAGTAAGAACGACACTTTAAAACCCTCTTGTTACACTCAATTTGTGATTTTGCTTTCATCTTTTGTTTTCATATTTTATAATCTGGCAATCTTTCTGCGAAAACATTTTTAAATCATTCTTGAAAAATATCTGTCCATGTAAGTTGTTATGATTTTGCTACTCGCTTTATAGTCCCCCCTTTTTAATGTTTTTTCTTTTTATTTTATTTTATTATCTGTTTTTACATGTTATTTTTACTTTTTATGATCTATTTTTATGTAGTTATTTTATAAAAAATTTTTTTGAGTGCTCCTCACACTATTGTATTAATATATTTTGCTTTGGCTTTATTGATACAATATCAGAAAGCACTCTGTTTTGCGGATATAATCGTGTGGGCTGAAGAAAAGATTATATCTTTTTTTTCCGGCTTTTTTTCCGGTTTTTTAATTAACATTTCATTTTTTTTTTTTTTTTTTAAAATGTTGTTTATTTTTTTTTACTTATTATTTCCCACCCCCTTTTTTTCATATGTCTATAATTTTTCTTTGTTTTATTCTTCATTTTGAACTTATCTAATGAGTGCTGTTTACTTGCAGCTTAAGCGCAATAAATGATACTTATTGTTTTTCTTAACTTTCTTAGTGTTTTCTTGTATTTATTTATTTATTATATATATATATATATATATATATATATATATATATATATATGCATCAAACATTATTGTATTCTTTTTTTTTTTAGTTTCTGTTTCGCTTGGGTACCACTTTACATTGACTCTTTGAAAGATATACATCATTATTGCCCATCTTGTAGCACATTACTTGGAGTTTATCAGAAGTCGGAGACATTAAGAAGAAACAGAGAAGATATTCATGGCTATTATTAAATTTTAAATATTCTAAAGGTAATAGATTTAAAGGCAATCACTTTCACAATAAAACTTCACAACCCACCAGGAATTCTCTCCCCCCACTTTTTGTTGAAATGGGCAAAATTAGAATACTTGATTCTTAAATCACCCTCAATTCTTACTTAACTCTTTTCTTAATTTCATCTGAAAAACGTGTCTATATGTGCATATATATAGTAGAAGAAAATATTTTAAGATGAAACACAAAAAGCAATTACCTCATACACGAACGAAGTCATTAACATGAAATGAAAAGCTAGATGTGAAACTAAGAAACCACCATGTGAAAGCACTAAAGGAGCAAACAGAAAGGAAAAATATTAAAATGAAATTGAAGCACTGACAAAGTGGAAGCACTGACATTGTGAAAGCATAGTGGAAAGTGGAAGCACTGACATACATAGCAGCAGTGACAGGGGGGTATTACCATGCAGCTCCAGTGCGGGAGCAGTTACACGGTAATTAACGCAGACAATCATATCCTTTACTGCTCAAAGGAGAAAAAAAAACAAAAGTCATGTCGGACAAAGACTATGTACCGTAATCTCAAAAGTCGAAGTGGAAGTGCATGAAATTACTACACGCATAAAGTTGCGCACTGGGTGCATGGTAACACCCCTCTGACTATGCTGCCATGCATGTCTGTGCTCCCTCTTTAATTTCTTTTTAATATTTTTACTTTTTGTAAGCGGCTTTGGAGCTCTCACAAGGTGGTTTCTTAGTTTGTCATTTATCTTGTTATTTCATGTTAATTTCTTCCTTCTTATATGAGGTAATTACTTTTCGTATTTAACCTTAAAATATTTTCTTCACATAATCTTCTAGGAGTGACAGTGACATTAGCAGCTGAGCGCTGTCGCAGCTTAACATTTTATCTTACTTTTTTTTCCTATTTTTGTATCTTAAAAATCGTTATATATATATCGTAATATATATATATATATATATATATTGTTTTTTAAAAAGTTAATTAAAAAAATGGTTTTTTCATTCTGTTTCATTGTTGTTGTCCAGTTTGCTTTTTTTAAATCTGTTGTCTGTGACATTTGTAACTAATAATTTTCCCATCGGTTCAATAGGGACATATATATCATCTACAAGGGGATGAGTAACCAAGGAAATAATAAGGCTCGTTTGAAATAGACATTTTTTTAGAATGCAGAAAGAAATAATTTTTTTTTTAATTGTAAATTTAATAGCACAAATATTGAGTGAAGAATTGTAATTTTAGAAATGGCTGCGTCCCTTCATTTAAGAAATTCAAGGGGGTCTAAAGCCCTCTCTGTCCCTACCGGGTTCTACGGTCCCTGGTTAGCAGTGTAATCTTTTGTTCTGATTAATTTAAAAACTTGGAAAGTATAATTAGTCTCATTTCCTAAGAAGAACTCATTAAACTATTCACTTCTATGTCTTGGCATTTTGCTTTTATTGATGTTTCAAATCCCCGGTTTTTTGATAACCGTAGTTAAAAAAGCTTTTCTATATATTATAGTACTCATAATTTCCAGAAATTTCACGTGCTTTTTATTTCTTTCAGGTATACAATACTAAAGTTCTCTGCCTGGCTTGGAAATATTTAAATATGTTTATTACAGATCTTTCTAAAGTATATTAAGAAATTTTCTAATGCAAATAATCTAGTTTTGAGAGATTTGTACATATTCAATATATTATTGATAATACTATTTTGATAATATTAGTATTACAACGTATTGTTTGTTAAAGTGTCTATCGGTTTTTATATAATCAGGAGTCTGACAATAATGTAAACTTTCTTGGAGCGATAAACAATTTTTTGGAGCCAGCGTGTGATGAAATGAAAGTTTGCTCAAGAGCTTTTTGTTTTTATGTTAAATTTTACTATTGGAGCTAGCTACTAATATATAGAAAAATTTTAGTCGATCGCAAAATGTTAGTCTTTATAATGGTTCTACCATCTCGTTCATAGCAAACATGACTGCCTCATTGAAGTAATCGATATATACTAGGTTCGTAATTTTTTTTATTACTAAGTACACAAGGACTATTAACGTGGCTAAATAGCGCTGAATAAACACAATTATAAATACTATCAGTAGCAATGAAAACTCTTACTGTCTTATTGATATCCAGAATTTATTTTCATTGAAAAATTAGAAGAAAAGTACAAAATTTGTAATTTCTTGTAGATGAAATGCATTTTAACGTGAATTAACTCAAGGCCATGATGGTGATTTTCAAACTTCAGTGTATTAAATAGTAAACAGAAAGCTACTGCTGTCATTAACTCCAAAATAATGAAAGTGGCCCAACAGCGAATCCTTTAGTAACCCTCCCATGAATTCTAACATATCATCACCTGTGCAGTGTTTCGGCTTCCAGAGCATTTACAAGACCACGCATAAAGTGCACATTCATCTTTTCCTACGTTGCCATGCTTTCTGAAAGAAATGGTAGAAAATACGATGTGTAAGAAAACAAGCTCTTTATGCTTTTCATTACAGCGCCATCTTGCCGTACTGTACAGCGAAAATTGTTTGTAACGATGGTTTCTACCACCTCGTAAATTTTGCCAATGTACCCTGTACATGCATTCTTTATAATATATAATAAATATATATATTTTTTTACGTTTGAACAGTATAATTCTGTTGTTAAGAATTTTAAAGTTCATTATCTTAAATGTACATAGGGTTGATGAGTCACAGAAACTTTCGCAAGCGTCAGTCAAAAATATTAGCTTCTCTCCAACTTCGATTATTTAAAAATTTTTAGATCATTAGCTTAAAAGAAAAAAAAAGAGATTTTTGATTTTATAAAAATTATCCACGCAAGTATTTATAATTATATGAAAAATGAAGATTATGAATTTGAATTGAATTGTTTAATAACCTATAGCAAGTGTAATAATTTAAATCTGAATTGTTTAATAACCTATTGCAAATTTAATGCATCACATCTGTTATCACAATTATCACCATAGCAAACATTTAACTACTTCTTCACATATTTTCATTCGTGTAAACTACACTGGTGGACCAAATTAAGATATGGAAGACATTTTCCCAAATATCTCAAAAAATACTGCATATAAGTAAATGAAATTTGGTATGGATATAGCTTATTCCAGAATAATAAAGTATTCCAAACAGAAATGAAAGTGCCATTCACTGGCAAGAACTATTGCCAATAAATCCAATGTAGTCTGAACTTAAGGATAAAAGATGACAAAAAAAGTGAGGCTTGTACAGTGTGTGCTGCCTCTAGTATGGTGTATGGTCATCCTATTTATTACCTATTTATTTTTCTGTTATTTATAAAAAAAATAAGGGTCACAGCTTGCTTGCGCATATTAACACGTTGTTATTGTGTTCAAAAAGAAAATATTTTTACGTTTATATTACTGTTTATTGATGCAATAAGCAATTTGGCTGAAAAACAAATTTTTTCTGATCCATTTGTTTTATTTTGATAACTTTTTACAGAATCAAAACGGATAACTTATCCATATTTCTATTATACACAAAAAAAAAAGGATTACAGCTTGTTTACGCTTATAAAAACATTGAGGAAAGGTTCCCAATATGCCATAGTTTATTAATTTGTAACAATTTGTATATAAAACAGAACGTAGAAACAACCAAACGCACATGTGATGGTTTGGCGAAGGATTTTTTACCATTTATTGGCTGTATCGCAAGCATGAATGGAGGTTAAAACTCTACCTTTGTTAAAGTTTCGAATCTTTTCATTATTTTGGACAAATACGGGTAAATACTTTGTTACGTTTCTATATATTCTTTTCTCACAATAAATTGTCTGTAAATAATCAAGGTCCAATAATATCAGAATTCAAGCTTACGTATTTAATATGATCCAACATTAGGATACTTTTTTTTCATTTTGAAAGTGAGTTGAATTTTTTTTTTTGAGATTACATAGTGATGCTATTGTGTTTTGCAAATTTGACAGATCCTTAGTCATTTCATGGAGCTGTAATACAAATAGAGCAAGCCCTATGCTATATTTCCCCATCTCTTTTTGTCCTAAACATCCGAGTTCCTACAGTTGAGTGTTCCCTCTCATTCGGCGACTTTGGCGAAGATACAGTCGTATGACAGTTGAGATGAGTTCTCATATCTGATAGATTCATGTTTTGTACTTATGTAGGGAATGGAGGAAAATACGAAGCTTCAGGAACGTTAAGATTAGCGGAACAGTAAAGCAAGTTAAAAATTATTTTAGAACTCTTATCTTTAAATTAATAATTTATGAATAATTGTTTACATTTTTACAAAAATTTTAACAAATTTTTTGCTCAATTAAATGTAACATAATAAACATACTATTTTAACACTTTCAATTTAAATTTCCAGCTTCATTTGTCTTCCATTGAAATAAAAAGAAGAAACGGAAATCGGAAATACTCTCTCGATTCGTCCCACAGTCACATGGTTTTATTATAATGACAAAATTTATCGTGATGTGCACGCTCTATTATACTTCACCTGAAAGAGTGATTTACCCCGGTGAACAGTGCGTAAAAAGATAAACACAAAAGCTTGAATAACATCTGATCTAATGATCGGATCTTCACGTATTTGAACTCAATCCTATTGGTTCAAAAGCATCGCCTCAAAAACGCCAATTAGTTAGTGCGAACGATATTTTAATTTACGAAATTCGATCAAAACACGTATTTTTTCTGAATAAATATACTTTTGTTTGGACCGGATTTAAATTTCTGATCCTCAAAATATGGGGAGTAACCGCAATCTAGGAAATATGGTCCCAAGAGTTTGGTTAAAAAAGATGTCCAAAGTTTAGACCTCTCAATGTTAATTTTACTTTTTACGCATATCAACATATTTCGAAAACTTTTTAAGCAAATTGGAAGATTTTTACACACATTTATAAAATTCATATATCCACACGAAAAATAATCTTTAATAATTATTTAATTTTTCTTTTTCTTACTATTTTATTTTATATTAGTCGAAAAGAAATTGAATTGCAAGGTAGGTATACAAATTTTTACATCACTTTAAAAATATAATTTTTTATGGGAAAATACAAAATTTTAACGACATTGGTCGAATAGTACCGGAGAAATCGAATTTTAAAAAACGTAAGACACTAAAAATTTTATTTTTCAGGAATGATACGAATAAAATAATATTCTTAAAGATAATATAAAAATTTTCATTCCTTTAATTTTAACTTTTTCGTCTGTAATGAAATTTTTTAAAAAAAAAATCAATAATTTTTTCTTTGCGTTCGAACCTATTTTTGGAAAACGAATTTTATAAATGTGTGCAAAAAACATTGAGTGTTCCTAACATTGGACCGCTCTCCTGACCAAACTATTGGGATCATATTTTCCAGATTACGGTTACCCCCTATCTTTGAAGGTTAAAGAAGTGAATTCGTCGTTAAAACGGTATGTTTTCCAGAGAAAGAACTTTTTCGGGTCTGATTTCGAAACTTAAAACATCGCCTGCATTAACTAATTAGTATATTTGAAGTCACCGGTTTGAACTATTAAGATTGAGTCCTAGTTCGTGAAATTCTGGTCATTAAATCTAAAATTATGTTTCATTTTTTTGCGCGTGTATATTAGATATAATAAAAATGAACATCATATTAATTATGCTAATAGTCATTTTTAAAAAAAAGTTAGGAGCATTTTCCCTAATGCGTCACAAAAATATGCAATTTTTTTTTGTCTCCCGAGTTTTGATTAGGGATTTTTGCACATTAAGTATTTTCAGTGCTAACTACATTTTTAAACTGTTTCTGTAAACCACATTTTTGTATAGATTTATTCGGCTTATAGTAGGGGTCTTCGAACTTTTATAGCCATGGAACACAGCAATAAATTCAGGAAATCAAAAGGGCCACGCTTGTGCTGACATCGACAAACAAATTCAGTAGTGGAGTATAGCAATATTTAATTGTAAAATAAATTACTGAGTTTTTTTTCTAATTTTCTTGAAAATATAAATTAAGTTCCACTTTTGGACCGCTTGCAGTCTTTTACAACTACATCCATAAAGGGTTCAATGTTTTAGAAAGACTTAACACGCAAATATTCTAAATAAATGCAAAATAAATTAAAACTTTCACGTTATTATTGCTTCGAACCATTGCATCAAATTTTAATAAGGTCTGGTGGCAGTTTATTTTGCTTCAATACAGCATTATTTTACTTCAATACAGCTTCAGTACAGCATGCCATAAAGCATATCCTTGTAAAAGTCTTATAAAAATAACATTGTATAAGTTGAAGCGAAACTAAATTGTTTATTATATCTTTTGGTCTTAATAAATCATCAAATTAATGATTCCGTCATTTCTTTTTATAAGTAACATCCGCAATTTAAATACTCTCTACTATCGTCTGAAGTATATGGCTGTTACATTGCTACCCAGACCACGCTGAGTGCCGGTACAAACATGCTGAGCTAGTACCGGCACTGAGCGCTGCTGAGTGCCGGTACTTTTTACCGGAATTTTTTTACATTGTAGGCACTTTTTTCATACATACAATGATAGAAAAAATATAATATAATCACATCTAGGCAAAACATTAGTTTCACAAAATTTTTTCGACAACTATTTTTTTCTTCTTCAGATATACAGTTGTAGAAATAAATCCTAATTTAAATGACAAAAATATTTGTAATATACTCTATTTAATGAATAAGCTTTAATACATATGCTCTTCATGCTTTAATATGTTCGTTTGAGTTGAGTTCTATTAACGTCTGAATTTCATGGTGATGTTAAATGCTGTTCCCGCTTATTCCGTATTATTTACATGTTTATTTGCCCATTTCTATTAACAATAAATTGGATAATACTGATACACCACTTTAATTTATTTTACGTATGCTTTTAAGTGAAAACTAAATACAAAATCTTACTTCTTTTATCAATTCATTTCACGCCAATATAAATAAGTAGGTTTCCATTTATATATAAAAATTATACGTATAATACGCTTACGTTTTTTTAATATTTAAAGTTACAGGCATACGTTATTTTTTCTTACATTTAAGGTTATATGTGTGCACTAGTATGAACATTCTAGAGCAAGGCGTTTGGGCTGCACCTGTGGCTAAAGTAGTTTACTATAATATCATGTGTGTATAGAATGTTTCTTACAGTATAAGGTAAGTTTATGTGGAGCAGCAGCCTCCAATTTTCTGGGGGCAATGGAGCCCTGGAGGATTATCCTTAAAGGATCAAACCCGAGACATTATATTTCATAAGCAATTGTTAATATATTAACCAAAGATAGACTATTAATTATTTTAAAAATATTTAACGAATGTGCGAAATATGAATTTTTTTTCATAGCATCGTTCTATCAATACTAGTATTCAAGTTGAGTTTTGTATCAGAAAGGTGAAGAGGATATAGTCTAATTTATAATTTGATTTTAACGTATGAAGAAAACTGAAAAATAGTCAACTAAAATATGACTTTCTTTGAAAAAAAAAATTTCGAAAATAAATGTTGAAAATGGTTATCAGCAAAACTTCTTCATTGCTCTAATTTTTATCTGATGCTAGGTACTGATACAATTTCATTCATCAAATATATTGTTACTAGAAAATATAATTTT